AGAACTTAAACAAGATAGGAGGAAAGAAAAATTAATCAAATTCATCAAACTAAATATATATTGACTAGTCATTTTCAGAAGATTTTATAATGACTTTTGTCAAAACATAATGTTTTATTAATTAAATTTATAGCATTTATTTTTGAAATTCATTACTTTCTAATTTACTTTTTAATTTAAATCATAAAAAGCTATTTAAAAACTTTTCTTATAGATATTAAACAAAAATGATTTGATATCTATTTAATAGATATTAATACGATGGAAACAAATATACATATTAAACAGTGACCCAAAAAAAATTGTTGTACAAGATATTTATACGACTTAAGAAGTTATTTTAATTTTTCAAGTAAAGGTTTAAAAATAATAAATGTTTAAAAACGACCTAGCCAGAGTATCCAGAGTATTCATGTGAATAAATTAATCATTGACTTTAGGGGAAGTTTCTATATCTGATCTGTTATCAAAAATCTTCGACCACAATTTATTGAATCCCTTATATATTACTCGTAAAGTAATTTTGTGGAGTTTGCTTATTTGTCTCTACCAAATTCATTCTCACAATTAAAATGTGACATGACATTTTCAAAAATATGATATGACATTCTAGTTCATTACTCCTTTATTACATTAGTTCAAACTTAATAAATTAGCCCAAGTTTAATCACCTAAATGAATTTGACCGAGATTTTTACTAACACAATTACTTACCACAATTAAACCTAACCTAATATATATTGATAGGGGATGACGGCAACCAAAAAGTTCATATTACTTATATATTAATTAGAGAGTGATTTTTTATTAAAAAAATTTATGTGTCTTCACCAAAATCATTCTTCCAATTTTAATGTGACATAGAATTCTCTCTAATTTAACCCATTAATCTCTAATTAAAATTAGCCCAAACTTAATAATAAAATCGGCCATAATTCAATTAACCCAATTTCACAATCTATTGGTTTAGATCATTTCTAATTCTACATTAAACTCATCTTATATATAAAGTTATAAGAAAATAATAATGATTTTTTTTTTGTAATTTAAGTAAACTTAAAAAAACGTCTAATCTAAATGTCCAAATTCGTTATTGAATCTAACAAAAAATAATATTATCGATAATAGATATTTTTATTTTAGATATTGTTATTCAAAACAACAATAATTCACACGGGTTTAATCAAATGGATATTGAACACAATTGATCACAATATGTTGTGTTTTGTTTTGTTAATTTTCAAGCTTCAAAAGAATTTACACACACAGTAGTAGTACTTTGGTGCAATGTGTTAACGACAACATCGACACTACAACATCAATAGAAATCGAAAAACTTTTAGAAACGACAAAATCTTACTTGGTTATTACGATATAAAATTAGATACAATGACCAATTCAATCGTTTTTTGTTAATTGAATTGTAAATGATGTTATTAATGAAACTAAAATTAGTGGCAATAAACGAAAAAAAAAGAAATTATTTTGTATAAATAAAATTGAATTTAAATCATTAGCAACTTTTAACCATGAAATAATATTTTTTTAATTTATTTGATTTCTAAAAAAATACTTAACCGCGTGTAACGCGAGGAATCACCTTATCTATAGTTAAACAACATCAAATTTTCATTTTCTTTATCTACACATAACTTCTTCAAGATGGTGTTTTACTGACCTAGCTGTAGATTCAGATCACACGATAAAGTATGTGCTTTACTGTTACATGTTGCACTAGATTTTGACCCACACAAAGTGTGAGATTAAATACTTGAATATGCTTTCTAATTGATTTTAGTATTTAGACGTGTATTATAATATTTAAAACTTATAAAATGATATGTATTGTGCATAAATGTAATAAAGTTAATTTTCTTGATCAAACAATTTTGATGTCATATGATTTGATCAACGTAGCATAAAAATATTAAAACTAATACAAATGTTATTTATTTCAATTAAGTTGAAATGTAAATTAATTTTTATGATTTGTGTAAATTATAGAATATGCGATAAATAGAATGAATTTTTAGATTTATATGAATTTGTCGGACATAACAAATAAAAAATATATATTTTCAATAATAAGGTGTAAAAATATTTGTAAGTGTAGTTATCATCTACAAATAGATAATGTTGTTACAAATATAATAATGAAAAATATCTTAATATATCAATTTTTTCAAAAATATATTGTGAGTCTAAATATTACATTTAGTCAAACTTAAATCTGTAGAACAGCTATTAATGAATTTATGTTATAAAATTAATTAAAACATGTAAATTTTCACCACGACATATAGTTTTAATAGAAATATTTTCATTGGTTAATTTAATGACATGTTCCTTAAAAACCTTATTGAATAACACATATTATTTTTTCACCAACTCAATAATGTACAGAGGCTTAGTGACACTTTTGAAAAAAACTTCTAATTGATGGTATTTTTTATTAACTTTGAAAAGTGGCATTTCTAAAAAATTATATACATTTACTAAGTGTCATGCAAATTAATTTTTGTAAGATAAAATATGAGAGATATATATCATTTGATTTATGTTCTTTTTACTTTCTCCCGTGTATTAAAAAGTATATAATTTTTGTTTTTGAATATTCTTATCATGCGTGTTTGACGTGGGTCAAAAATCTAGTAATTAGTCTTATTAAAAAGAAAATAAAATATTGTCACATAAAATCTTCTATATTAACTACCACATATTCGTTGCTTCCATATTCAGTTGATGATTATATATTGTATATATGATATAAATTTAGTTCATGCATTTTTTCTTAAGAATTCTTTAAAATTCTCTTTGCATAACATCTAAGATTTTCATCTAGTGTCTCCTCTATTAATATATAGAGGATTATTGATAATAATTTTGTTGTTCGGTACGGTTTCGTTGAATCAGATCCAAACGGTGTTGGGAAAAAATATTAATTTGGCCAAATTTTAATTTGAAGTATTCTATGTCAAAAGACTCAAAACTATTAAATTAAAAAATGAACTCATGCATACACTCTGTTAGCAAAACCAAATCCAAACCTTAAAATGTTAGGTTAGATCAGTAACTATAAGATTCTTCAAAAAGTAAATCCATCAAAAGAAGATAGCATATACAAAATAAAAGTTGCTGCAACGGACACTTGGAAGAGATTAAAGATCAAATATCCGGACTTTTTACGGTTTGTAAAATAAATAAATAAAAAATATAAAAAATTGCTAAATGAGAATAGTTTAATAGCTTTAAAGAGGTGGATCTTGGGGTACAAGTATGGTTATACGCTGAATGAAATTTATTTCCTTGATAACAATGAGCTAAAGAATTAGCATAAGGAAATTTAGAGGAAAATCTCACTTTTAAAGAAACCGGTTAAGTGATAACCGTGTATAAATAAGTTCGGTTGATGAAGATAAACCCAAACCCTCTTCGTATATAGGCTTTCTATGTAACAAACTCTTTCAAGTTGAATAACATAATCTTAACCAGATTCATCATTTTTCTTCGATTTCGTTGTTCTTCTAACACTTTTTTTTTGTCATTTTCCAAGCAGAAGAAGCTAAAAATAATTGGGAAATAGTAATAATAACATAACATAACAGAACAACTTTTTTGAACAAGTTAATAACTCAATACCCTAACGCCACTCATTTGGCCAATCCTATTTTTTTTACCAATATTCCCCCATGTTTCCACGGAATGAATGGTCGGTTGTGGCTAGGTTGCATGGAAACGGAAACAGATACGTGGAAACAAAACGTTTGGAAACGTGGAAACGATTTTAAAAAAAAAAATGGAAACGGGTACGTTTTGGAAACGCGCACATATATATATGAATCAACATCATCAAAAACAATATATAAAAAAATTTAAACTACACTATTATATACATAAATATTAAATAGCTTAACAAAAACAAAAAATATAATATTTTTGTTGTTTTCAACCTATATACAAACGCAATCTTTCATAATTTGTTGTTTTTAACCTATAAAAGTACTAAATATATCCCAAACTATTTAATTATTACGTAAGAAATAATTTTTCATCGCATCTCCAAAACGAAGTCAAACACTTCTGTCGTATTTTCAATTTGAGATTTCTAGCAAACGAGTTTCCGTCACTTTTCCAAAACGAAATTAAAGTTTCCATCGAATTTCCAAATTAAAATATTTTAGGAAACGTGTTTCCAAATTAAATTTTGTTAGGAAACGCGTTTCCATGGAGTTTCGGTTTCATAAGAGTGTTAGTGTGTTACTTTGAGATTACTCAATGATGTTTTTTTTTTTTTGAAACTTTTACTCAATGATGTTTATAACACTTTTAATTGTTTATGTTCTTGTAGGAAGTACGAGTGATGTATTAACAAAATGCCGTACTTGCAATTCTTAGCAGTTTTGACAACAAGCTATCTACTCCGATGAAAATATTTGTAGATTAATTTTGAGTTTGACCAAACCGCATGATGCTAGGGAGAGTTAACATTCACCTTTTTCTACATATATATCTCGATCTTACCTCCAATTCCCTTGAATCAAGGGATAGTAATTATCGCTCCAGGTCTCCATTTCTCCTCTCTAGTTTTATTTCCAAGATCATTCACTGATTATGTTTTCTCATCATCGTTACATTTCATGGCAAGTTGAGTTCTCTGATCATCATTACATTTCATGGCAATCTGAGTTTTGTTTGTCTCTCTTAGGGTTTTATGATTTTGCTCTTTCTTTTTTTTTTCTATCATGGTCATGATGGTTTATTTTTGAATCAATTGCCATATCACAATGCTTTAGTGACATCCGCACAATTTCCTCTTTAGTATACTTGATGTCATGGAGGGCCTTACTATTATTTCGTGATTTAATATTTTTAGGCATGTTTTGTTTCACCAAAAACAAACAACTATTAGACTATTATTGTGACTAACCCTATTTTCTTTTATTTCTTCCAATTCGAATTTTTCTGCTCTTACATCATAAAGTTGTCATTACTCGACCGAGAGAGCCCCTTGTTTAATTCGTCTTTCCTAGCGGCAATTTGTGTATCATTGGCGAAGTTTGTGTTGCATCGAAATGAACATCTTACTATGATACACAATTTCCT